AACTTCAGGATCTTGGTCTGCTGAGCTGACAGCTCGTCAACCCGACGCTCCAGCCGCACAAAACGATCATCCCAGTTTGTGAACTGGGAGTTGGCGATCTTGTGCTCCAACAGGATCATCTCTGCCATGTGCTTGGTGATCTGGGAGCAACGATCATCAGTGAGCGACCCTTCTAGCTGCTCCAACAGATATTCTCTTTTGGAATGATCTGTTGCAGCCTCTAGCTCAGCAGCCTCCTACTGCTCCACTTCTGCCAGTCTGGCCTGTTGCTGCCGCAGTTGTTCTTCTAGCTCCTTCTTCAACCACTGAGTAGCAGTCAGAGGTGGAGAAGGGGGAGTGGAGGCTGAAGGTTGTTCGCCTTCTACCTTCTTCACCACCTCCACCTGTGCCTGCTGCTCTGTCCCCTACTCAGACATTTTCCCAGATCAAAACAAAGACCAAAATAAAATAAACAGCAACCTGAGCTGCAGCGATAATCAGATTCCTGCAGACACACTGGAATCGCTGCAACACTCAGACACTGGAGTAGGTGGGTGAATAGGCAATCAGCGGGTTGGGTTAGAAGGGTGTCTCTGGGGTCAGGTGTCAGACAGACTGTAAATCCAGCAAAATCAATCACGCGAGTTCCTTTTACTGACCCTCGACCACACTGGAGTTAGGAAACACACTCCATTACTTTTCCAGAGACCCACTAGAATTCCAGTGCCTATTAGAAAGCAAGTGTCATCAGTGAGAATGACCGAAAATGGTTAGTACAGACAAAAGAGGTCAATCACAACAAGCGATGCAGACAGTTACCCTGTAACCTGACTCAAACTCAATTTTAGACCTTGATGACTCTGGCGGCCATACCCTAGGGTATGGCGAAGTACAGTATTCATTGAATCCAGTGAAATACTGCAAATCCAACTCTGTGATTCTACAGTATAGTCTATTTTTGGATTGCGATTCACTGGGGACTGACAGAACTGAATTCTGATGGACAGAATTGGAGTTATGACTGACCCTAGGTGGCACAGGCTAAAAATAGACTCAGCGCAAAACAACAATTCACAGTATCACTACCTTTCCAGTACAAAATTCACTGTTTGAGCATCCCAGATCAATCGCAATGCAGTATAGCAGTCACAGAACCCATTTGGACCAGAAAGAGTCACCAGATGGAGAGAAATGAGCAGAGAGAGGTAGGGGAGAGATGGCTATGGCTGTCTTGCAGTCTGCGATTTTCACATCCAGTCACTGTCAGACAGATAGACCATTACCATTCACTAAACTAAGACTATCTGGATCGCAATACAGATAGGTGCATGGAACGGACTCACTTTCTGGGAATCTTGCAAGTGATGATGAAGATCTGGCTATGGCTGATGATACCCTGATCTCGCCAATTTCTTCCAGATATTCCTCCTGATAATCCCAAGCACAGAACTGCTTCAAACTTGTTGATCCTCCTCAGGATCCTGTAGCGCTGCACTCCCTCAACTCAGATACCCTGTATCTGGTTCTGTGGCGCCCAGTATGCCAACTTCGAAATATCTCGCCACAGTGCCTAATAGCCACTGATGTTAAAAATAGCCCCAGATGGGGTTATTTCTTCAGGAGATTGGCACAGACTGTCAATCTCTATCAGCGCTACCCAGGGATGCTGTCGCTCGGGGTTCCCTGATGTCCTCATGGGTAATTCGCCACTCTGGGGTAATTCTCAGTATCACCCTCAGGGTTTGCTATGGCGAATTAACCCTGTACTCGCCACTTCCTGACAAGCGCCCTGACAGGTTCAGTGCGCTTGCTCAGTGCAACCACTGAACACTTGAATCCACCGCTGAAAGTCTTCTTCCCTGCTGACTCAGTACTGGGGAAGATGAATCGCCATGAAACTCTCGCCAGTAGATCGCCAGATGAAGAAGATGCCTCAGTGCGCTCAACCCTCAGTGTTCCAATTCCAATCTCACTCCGATACCAACTGTTATGAACTTGGTTGTCTGATGAATTTTATCGCCACTCACACACAGACAATCTCACACATGCCCATACATGCATAAGAGAAGGGGAGAGAGGAGACAGAGTCCAAACTGCGCACAG